CAGCAGGAAAAACAAGTACTGGAATGCAAACCTCAAGCCCAACGTGCTGCTGTTACACGAGGGCAGAGCAGGAGCAGAGCTCACCGTGTGGCCACTCTCCCCGCGCCGGTGGCAGCCCACGAGGTGACATTCCTCCCCCGTGGCACATTTCTTGGTGACTGAGGTGCTCTCCCCGTGGTCTGTGAAGAGATGAACTGTCAGGCAGTACTGAGTACCTGCAAAACGAAGTTTAGGAGAATTATTTGCACGAAGTACATGTATAAAATAGTCCCATAAAACGACTTATTTCGGCTGTATCAACTTGACCAAAATAGCAATTAGCAAGACACTGATTAGGGATGAAACCTGCAGCTTAACCCCTCAAGCCTCCAAGGGCTTCTATGACTGAAACTACTTATTAGGAGCATAATCTACACATTTATCTCCCTTTCTCTTCTCTTTCTGGCAGAACATTCTTGCTTTGTGGGTTCCAGACACATTTCCTCATTCCTCTAGTTTATTTCTTCCCCTTTCCCACTGTGAATATCACTGCAAAGAAAAATGAGGAAACATATTTCCATTCTTTCTTTTTCATCTATCATCCTCTCATGCAGGTATGATCCCTAGTCATTCAGGTATGATCCCTGGTCCTGCAGGTCTTGCTGCTCACAAGGAAGCTTAGAAACACCATTAAATCTTGGGATGGTACCAAAGGGGAAAAGGCTACAGAGGCAATTCTTGAGGCTTTTTAAACAACAGCTTAAGATCAATTCCTAGGACACATAATTATATACACACACATAGAAACATATACAATTCATTAATATTATGGCTAAATCATTAAGAAATCAATTAGGATATTAATAATCTATCATTATATAGTATATAAAATACTTTATAGATATATATATAGAGATATAAATACTTTCTCACTGTTGCTTTGCACACTGAAATGGCCAAAATATTCACCTCAGCAGAAATTCTCTGACTCAGATTACCAATAACATAACTGAGGGCACCTCTGCTGGCACACTCAGCTCATTAATCAGTCAGATTTCTCCAGGGTGCTGAGTCAGGGAGAAGCAAATGGGAGTGTGATAAAGGATCTCCTTAGCACAGACTTACTCACACTTACTTTCAGGACACCATCGATCTTCAGCCCATCGGTTGCAGTCGTAATTGTCCACTGCATTGTCACAAGTGAAGCACTTAAAGCTGTTTGGAAATGGAGTGGCTTTGAAAGCATTAAAATAGAGTAAGTTTGCAGGTATTAAGAGGGAAAAATAGTCAAAATAACATTTGTGTACACATATATTTACATACTCATAGGATTATAGAATTTAGGGGTTGGAATGGA